TTAGTAAAATTAGCTAATTTTTGATCGTCGCCCTTAGCCAATCAAAATCGAGAATCTGCCGGTCCAAATTGTTGCGGCAGCTATGGTTAATAATTTTGTTAGCGTTAGACGTTTTGATTTTTCTTTAACTTTGAGCGAAGATATCTCCACTACCACCAGACCAAATTCAATGAATTTTTTTTTATTTAAATTCTATGGATTCATAGAATTCAAATAAAAATATCAAATTTAGTCCATTGGTTATGGAGATAGCTTCGCTCAAAATTTTTAAAAATTGGTACAGCTTCTACTTATCTAACTTTGAGCGAAGATATCTCCACAACCACCAGACAAAATTTGATAAATTTTTTTTATTTAAATTCTATGGATTCATAGAATTCAAAAAAAAAAAAAATTCATCGAATTTAATTAGTTGGTTACCAATATATATTTTGATTTAATTTTAAAAATTTTTATTTTTCTGTTATAAAAAAAATGGACTGCGAGGCATAGGTTACACAATAATGCAATTAGTCTATTTTAAAAACGAATCAAGAACGTATCAATTTTGGGGTACATTTTAGGCCTATCAAAAAAGCAACGTAGGATCAATTTTCCGAACACGTGATTTTCCGATATTAATAATATCACCACAAAAAGTGAAATTTGAAAAATTCCTTAAAATTCATTTAGATTAGGGTTAGGGTCTATGATTGGTTTCTATTAACTCAACCCCAAGTATTTCAAGTAAATCTAAATATTCATGTATATCTAAATAATTGAGAATTTTCAAGCAATTTCATAGAATTCTTGATCTTTATTGGACGAAACGTAACTTGGACTACAAAAAATGGTCACGTGTAGGGTTAGTTACAGCCAGAATTATAATAAGTTTAGCCGGCATTAACTGTTAAATTTAATAATACAGTCAACTCTCTCTAAGAGCAACTTCTCTTTAAATGTAACTTTGACTTCGGGTCCAAGATCCCTATAAATACAATTTCTCTTAATTGTTCTTTAAAGGTTGCTAAATGCCTGGTCCCGACGAATTGGACTTAGAGAGTTGACTGTATATGATTCCGAATTTTTCTGAGGTAGACAATGGGTGAACCTCAAATACGAGCAAGGTTGAATTATAAAATTTAAATACCAAAACGTAATAACAAATATACGAATTTAGCCAACTAAAATTTCAGATTTTGGCCCAAATTATAAGTTTATATTGGCTAAAAAAAATAAGATCAAAGGCTTAGCCTTCCTTGAGTTAAATATGAACACACTAATGCAAGATAGTTTAGAAAGAGGACTAGCCATAACCATTGGTAAACTTATTGAAAAAAGGAAAAGGTAAGTAGTACCACGACTGTATTCGAATATTCCAAACCTATACTGTTTTCTCCGCAATAATTTCATTCATTAATGTGTATCTCATTAATACTAGAACTTGAGAAAAAAAGAAAAACAGAGGAAGAATGTAAGATTATAGAGAGTTGGCTTTGCTTTGTATCATACTCATTTTTACTAATTTTTGTTTAATCAGTTATGATTACTAAGCCAAAGAAAAAAAAGTGAATTGTAAATAGTGTCATTACGCAAGAAGAGCGTTCTATCATTTATTTCGTGGATCTGACAGAGCAGAATGCCCTACTTTTTGAATTGGTACGTTGAGGTGAATTCATAGCGTTACATATATCATGAGCCTCTGAAAAGTCTACACAAGTGCTCCAACTTCAGAACCAGTTAAATAGCAAAGGCATTGTTTGTATCTAGTAAATTAGCTCTCGCTTAATAATTGTTTGCTAAATTAACACAGAATGTAATCAAACTTCAATCTTCATTTTCTCAACTTTCTGTTATGTTATCATTTCTTTGTATAGCGCATCTTTTGAACATGTCAACATAAATAATATAGATCTTTTCTGGCAAATACTCGGCATGACACTTCAACGTAATGCACCCGAACTTTTTAGCCCTCTAAAAAGCCTACAAATCAAATCTGCAAACGATTTTCTTAACACTTTTTATAGAACTCAATAGAAGTCTTTAGATACTATTATTCTGTTTGATGAATTTAATATGTTGTATAATGCAATGCAAGATGTTCTTGCCTTGTATCTGATGACTCTTCATAGCATCAAAACTAGTAAACAAGACTATACCATATGCTCCTTCATTGCTATTGGACCCTTTAGCATCATGCATTTAAATTCAAATAATTTGACCACTTCACTATTCCAAAACCCAAACTTTACTTTGGAGCAAGTACAGTTTATATACAAAGAATTCATAGATGAATACAAATTGGCAATTGACTAGGAAGTTATCGAGAACATATATATACAAACAAATGGTATATAACTAGATAAAGATTAATCCTCACTAAGAGTTTTAAAATTTATATTTTTTTTAATAGATATACTGGTCTTGTCTGCCTTTGTGAATATGCGATATTTAGAAAACTACTACCAGAAATAAAATTACACTTGAGTTATGACTTATGGTAATGTTTCGACACCTTTTTACTAATAAATACTATTTTAGAATACCTACTGTAACATTTACAAGAATAAAAGATGCCCTTTTGAATAAGAATTTTGTAAATACTATAAAACTATTCCAATCCAATTTTCTAGCAAATTTTAGTCCTGTACTTGTCACTAGAAACAAAAGAAACCTAGCTTTGTTTCTTACAGCAGAAGGAGTCTTTGTTCTTGGGGATAATGATGAGACATTTAAGATTTCTTCACCCTTAGTGCGCTGAATGGTCCTTCAGCAAATAATTTCTCGTGTATTTTCAACTTCACCTAAAGCAGATGTCCCATACTATCCTTCAGGTACCTTAGACATCTTTGAGGTTTTAAAACAAGTTATATGTGTATTTGATCACAAAACAATAAAATTTCGTAGCTCTTTTAAGTTAGCATGTGTACTTGTTAGCAATATGAATAGTTGAAAAGTTCCTAGAGAATCAGTATATGATGCAAAACTTTACCAGATCATGTCAAATTGGCTTGGTGGATTTGGATTTACAATAACAGGACAATGGCACCTAAAATATCATGCTAATAAGCATATAAATAATAAATATATCAACATAGTTATATTATGACCTATTATCCAACAATTGCTCTTGAACTTTTAGCTACAGTACCAATAAACAAGCTTAATAAATACTACAAATGGGTACTCCTATATGACAAGAAACTACCTGCAGATGAAACATAGGTTATTCATTTTACCTGTTGCGAGCATGCCATTTCAGCGCTATGCTAGCCAACTGACTTTCAATTGCAAAAGAGCCTTTGAGTCATATACTTTTGGCATGACCTTGACTTTACAAAAATTAGTGTAATTGCATGTTGGTGGGATACAAATAATAATATGAGGCATGTTACTGACGTCAAGAATTGGTGAATATTTTGCTGCTTTCGCAAAAATGTAAGATTTCCGCAAAGTATATAAAATCACTAAACCACTGTTGAGTGCTGTTTAGAATGGATGAAACCTTCATTATTCATATCAATATGAATTAAATAAGAAACTTAGTCTTTGCTTCTAACTTCGGGTTAGCAAAAGGCTAATTCAATATAAATAAATTTATTTCAAGAGAGATAATAGTATTTAATAAATATTTATAGTTATCTCACATGTTCTATTATTATGTACTAGCAATTAAACCATGGATTTGCTATGTAAGTTTTATAAAAATTAATATTTGAATTTAAACTTTATAATTTGTATAAATAACTAATATTTTTTAAAAATTTACTTTTATTAATTTATTTTTTAACAATTTATTTTAATTTATTTTTTATTGATTTTTATTTTCTAAACTTATCATATCAAAAAAAAAAAATAATTTGTCAAATCTGATAAAATATTAATTTATTAATATATGATTTATATAAAGAAAACAAACTTTGTAGATTAATATTTATAAAATTTGACAGATTATTGATTTGACAGAATTAGTAGGTTGCAATATATATATATTGCAACCTACTTACATTAGGTTGTTACCTACTTATGAGTATATATTGTTACCTACTTATGGGTATATTGTTACCTACTTGTTTTATAGCTACTCATTTTGACCTCTATTAAGCTTGTGTCGTCATTCGAGTAATGAACAATTCGTGCTTGCGTCATCAGAGATATATTAGTATTCGCTCCATCATTCGAGTGACGAATGATTCACGCTTGTATCGTCATTCAAGTAATGACAAATTTGAGTTCACGTCGTTATTCGAGTGGTATTCCCCGATTTGGGTTATGCTATATACATGTTTGTGGGTATGCTATCTGTCACTGAAAAATCTTTGGTGACAACTTTGGTGACAACTTTGGTGACGGGTTTATTATTAAATTTTGGCTTTAAATTCTTTTTTATCTTGTTCTTATATACT